GTAGTAGCAGTAGTAATAATAATAACAAAAATGAAATTAATGAAAATTTATTATTGAATATCAATTCATCATTGGAACAAATTACTAGAACATTTGTACGTATATGTGGCATGCCAGTCAATGCTGATATTACAGATATTTTAATATTTCTACAAGATAACTGGCGTAATATAGCCTTACATGGAATACACTTAGTATATGATATGACGGTACGATTTCTAATTCATTCTTTTTTTCTAATAAAAATGGGACCAAACTAGACTGAAGTTTTTCATATTAAAAATAGTTTGAATTATTCCGTTTTCAGCAATCTTGGCTAAGTGTGGATAAGTCCTAGTTGGCAACATATACGTCTTGTGAGCATTGCCTCCATATAAATATGTTTTGCAACTTTTATGAATCCAGTTTAGACTATCAGCAATTGGATAGTTCAAATTTTTCCTAACAATGACATAAATATCACATGCTTTGTATAAGCGAGTGGCTATCTGGACTCAACATTTCAGTGAATAATGCATTAGGTGTCTGAAGAAAACGGTACTGGGTAAGAGTCTTAATGTGAACATCAATATTGGGATTTGCCAGATCCATCCAGCTGATGAGTCACAAATGGAACGAAACAGACGTCCTGGATTCCAGTGTTAACTACAAATCTATATATTCTATAGATTACGGTTGACTGAATAAAATAATATTAGAAGTAATAACCTATTCAACAAAGGATGCAAAATATACTAAAAAAAATACTCGTTCATTCCTTTTGTTTATTATTTAACAACTCGCGTAGTTAAATACTATATATAAATATCCATACAAGCTCTCTCTTTCATACACACACACAGTAGGATATTCTTAAGACTGACAGGAGACTGATTTAGTTATCTGTAATTATCAGATAATTCAGTTAAGGTGAAATTAATTTATTTAGTTATTTGTAATGGGTTACTCGAGAAGAAAACTGAATGTAAATAAATATTTGACCAGCAATTAGAAACTTTCACAGATTGAAATCATGAGTCAGTTGAAGCTAGACCACCATGGAAAACCTGGAAGCACTGGACGGCCGTTTCGTCCTGGTATGGGACTGCTCAGCAGTGCGCATCCACGATGCCGTACCACGCGGGGCTTGAACCCAGGACCTATCAGTCTCTCGCACGCCACCGCTTAACCATTAGACCACTGAGTCGGCATCCAACGGTGTTAATGTCTAACTTCAACCAATCCACGAAGTTGCGCCACCATATACCATTGTCTTCAGTGAGCTGATATCTCATAACAGACCTGGTTGTACTCCACTGGTAACGGCTTCCCACTAGAACTCCAGGAGTATCTCTTGAAGTCAGTCACCAGTGAGCAGATGATTATTATCAGAAGGGGTTTGTGGAGATTTTTAGAAATTTTCACAGGTTGAAATCATGAGTCAGTTGAAGCTAGATCACCATTCTAATAATCTCCACAAACCCCTTCTGATAATTAAAAACTTATCACAACAAAAGAGTGAAGTAAGAATCAGTGATGTTGTGTAAAATTGAATTTTTATCCACAATTTGATATCTGTTACTGGACCAAAGAGAATCATAAAGCGCTCGACAACTATTTCACCCTGATTTCAAAATTCCTACCACTTCACACCTATGACTCTACATGAATCAAGCCCATCAACTTCAGGAAACATGACAATGGCAGTTTTACTCGCTCAGCACTAAAATGACCAGAAAATACATGATATTAGTCAATACTCAGTAATCAGCCAACTGCAAAGTAGAAATCGAGTTTGAAAAGTATAGTATATTACTAAAAGTATTGTTCAAAACCAAATTTCTCCATAACTACTTGACCTTCTCTTTGATTTCACAGGACATTTTTATTTATAGAAATTCTAGCAAAATGCTTTACAGTAGACGTCAAGAACTGACCTTAGTTAAACAGCCATCAAAAACTGTCAAGCATCAGACAACTGTTTCGCCCTAATGTAGGACTTTGCAACAGTACGTACCCAGAATCTCACTGAGGATCAAACCTAGAACCTTCAGGTCTGATGGCGAGCGCTAGAATTTTGACCATTGAGTTGGCAACTAAAGTGTCTATATTTCTAACTAAGGTCAGTCTGTGATGTGGACTATAACGCTCAATAATCTCCACATACTCTCATACTATTAACAGTCATGCATTTATTATCGACTATTTTCGAAAAATGATTCCCAGGTGTCTAGTAAGAAGCCATCTTTTGCGATGAAGTTGGACCATATCAGATGTAAAACAGACGTTGACCAATGCTATGAAAAGATGGTTAGGAAATATCTTCAGTTGATTAAAGTAAGTGATGTATACAGTTGGATATCAACTCAGAGGTCCACAGGTTAAGCGCTTGTTGCTAGGTCCTGAATCTGATCCCATGTGGTGTCTTATATCCGCAATGTTGAGAAGCTCTGTACTGGGATCGAACATATTTTCTGTGTCTCCTGCTTTTGATTGTTTATCTAACTAAGGACGTCCCGTAATTTAAAATATAAAATCTAATAGTCCCTGTAAATTTTTCATAATGGAGTTTTTCAATTACATTCTTTTGTACAAATATTATTTCCAAAGGGCCAACCTATTGGTGAAGCTATGATTCAATTTGTAACAGAATTATCTGCTCAAACTGTTTGTGAACAAAAGCATAAAAGTATTTTCACTAAATATGGACTGCCAATTCCAGTTGGCGTTTATGTTGATGTAATTCAATGTACAAGAGAAGATTTAAATCAACTATTATCTAATATGTCAAGAAATATTGGAATATTTACAAATAATCTCATTTCATCATCATCAACATCAAGGTTGTCTAATCTAATAAATCCAATAATCTTTACTCAGTTGCATCATTTCGATGATATTACTCCTATGCTAAAATCATCAATACCATTACAGTCAGGTTATGGTATTGAGCAAACTAATTTTTTACGCATAAAATCTCCAGAATTTCGCTTGAATCCATTTATTAGTAATGAAGAATTGAACAGTTTCAATGTACCACCACCGACATCAAATTTACCAAATTATATCACTGGATAAATAGCACATTTTCATTCCCAACACCTTTAATTGATAATAATATAACTAATGGTATGTTGACGAGAATTGATATTCCTTATTTGTATTGAATAAATAATGTAATGTAATAATTTAATATAGTAGACCAATCAAAAGTCACTAAATGGAAGGCTGTGATGTGTTTATTGAAAATCTTCTAATAAGAAGGGGATGTGAATGGAAAAGAAATGGTTTTATTTTCTAAGTAGACCTATTTATATATCGAACTATATTAATGAGTTCTTTTGAACATGTGTCAGTTGAACACAGTAAATTTCCTTCACTCATAGTGTTCTTTTTCAGTAGCCAGTTAGAGACTTGAGTTAAGCAAGTTTGAGTTTCAGTATCAGTCTTAGATAGTACAGAACATAACACATGACCTTTTGTGTCGCTTAGTACTTTGAACAAGGTGGTTTAACTACGGAGTATCAATTGTCATTCTGGATAACATCACCAACATGCCTTGCACGATTGGAATAACCAAGAAGCTCAATTCTACATAATGTAAGCCCCGGTGTTGTTGTCCAGAATAATAATGAAAAATTATATATCTCAAAAAAATCAATAGCATCAAAAATACCAACCTGAGTTGTTAAATTCGCTACCACTTCTTTAACTATGATTAAAACGAGCTTTCAACGTATAAGGTAGTAAATATAGGAAACCACTACAGTAATTAGTAATAATAAACACAACTATTCTCATTCTACAATACATTACAGGAATGAAAACTGATGTGGAATTTATCACTTATTAAAAAAAATATAAATCAGTCTTCTATGTCAGCATAAATCAATTGATAAAATAACAGGGATTAATAAATTGATCGAAATGACATATTTTCTGGAAGAATCACACATAAAATGTCGAGCAAATAGGTTTCAAAATGATTAGCCAACTGATTGAGTATGTAAGTATATATAAGGGAAATAAAGCTATTTTTGTTATGAAATATTTAATCACAATAATATAGGTATGTTTTACTAGCCAAATAAAATGATTGATAAAACATAAAAATAAAAGTCGTCAGGTGGTTAGAAGTAGTCTGCGAGAGATCCCATACTTGGGTTTCCTACTAGTCAGTAGTCCTCAGCAGAAAATATCTGCAATCTCGAGAGAGCTGATGCTCCATATGGAACTCAAGGCCTAGACACATAGCTTCACAATCTGAGACAATAACACTGAGTTGTTCTAGGGACGACTGACCTTTATGAGACTGAGTTGTCTACAATTACTAGATCACTAAAAAGTGACGAATGTTATATTTGTCTGATCGTTTAGTGTTAACCGACCTTTATCGATAAAGTCAAAAGCCAAATGAAATAACCAATGATCATTTATTTCTAATAAACGTAACAGAACTAATTAACTACAACACTGTAAGAGATCAGCGATTATCATAGTCTACCACCATCTTTTGTTTTCACAGCCTTCAATGAAACACTTGATGGACTCGAAAAGAACTTTTCTCTAATGTGTCATCACTATATTCAGCCGCCAACAAGTCATGAATTCCCGAACATTTTTAAGTTGCACCAAAAACCTTGGAAGCTGATTTTATTCAGTTATTCGATGAACAGTTTATGCCACTGTATTAATGAAGTAAAATAACCAATAGGTTTTAGACGAATCAACTAAAAATCCAGTTTTATTTATATGACATTATTTATTTCGATTTAGAAATTATATTCCAAAATTCAGTGCTTCATTGCAGCCTAATTATCATGGTCAGTACACATTAATGAACTTCAATGTCGGGTAATAATTTAATTAATGAAACTACCTGATGTTGAAATGTTTTACATTAACTATATTCTATTTCAGCATTAATTCAATGTACTCCTCCATTATCAAATATGCTAGGATTTCAAATACCGAATTTGATTTATCAAACATCAATTCCAAATTTCTTTACAAACAATTCAATGTTAAATAATAATGAATCGACTGAACTACTTTCAACTTCAATTCCCTACTTAACGAATTGTCATAAGAACAAAGATAACATTATCAATAATGGTTACAACTTATCCGAATTCAAAGGGAATTCTGATTGGACAAATTCATGGTCAAATAATCGTAATGCAGAGCAAATTACAATTATGAATAGTCCTGAAATGCAGGTGTATAAGACAAATCATCTGGTCGCTTCCAAAACAGAAAATAAACCAATAATTGTAACTGTTCAAGGCTTTCCAAAAGAAATGACCACAAGTGATTTTACAAAATGGTTGGAGAAAAAAATTAACAATGTAGTATGTTGATATTCTTTTGTCTAAATGTAATTAAATTTTTTGAGATACCATACAACTACGTTGTAAGTATCGCAGAGAGTAAACTTTTTGATAGCGATACTCAATTATAATGGCAACATGTTACCTCACTGGTGGGTTATAGGTTTATTTATTTTCATCGATTGTAAATTTTGATGACCGGACGGAACCTTGCTGACGAGTGTCAAATAGTACGAAACCGAAGTTCAGATTTTCTTTTCGACTACATCCAACCGTCTAACATTTCAATAGAGTGTGCATGGTATCGAGACTAGTGGTGAAACTTTGGTCTGATTAGTGAAACCCGATAAGCACTTCAAGGATTAGATAAACATGATATTAGTCACTACTCAATGGCAAATCAATTTCAACACCCTAATCGCACAATATGTTAGTCTGGGTGCAGAGTAGACTAATTGTTGAATTATCAGATACAGTGATGTAGGTAAGAATATCACAAGGACAATTGATTCTCTTGTGAATATGTCTAGTTGATAAATATCAACTAGCACGAGATGTCTAGATTCATAGATCAACACCGATACTTATCTAAACTTATATGGATAATCAATTGAAAAAGTACGTTTAGATTTTACTTAAACCGAAGTTAGTCGGTGTGTATAAAAGCTTAATACAATTAATTTTTCAATCTATGTGAGTATTGCTAAATACTTGAGTGGATCATTCTTAGAAAGCTAACTTTGACAATTTCCAATTATGTCAAGCTACTAACAAACCGTACTCAGATATTTATAAAAGGACACAAACTGTTGTCAACAAAGCGGAACATAATATATTACCTTAATGGCAACCGTATATTACCTAGCCGATGAGAGGTAAAAAGGCCAAAATAGCTTAATTAGTTGAGTGATAAGTAATCCTACAAACACTCAGCTGTGCCGAGTGAGATATTATATAGTTTCTGTCCTTAACTAAGCACATTCAATTACCTGCACCCATGAAAACTAACCAAATTTTGAACAATTAGTGAATTTTTGTTTAGTGTAATGTCTAAAACACAACTCTAATAATCAAAATATCTAACAAACTAAAATAATGTAGACGATTTGTAACGCGAGTGCATGTCTTGAGTGATATTGCATTATACTAACTAGATAATCTGATTACTAAACTTTCATTGTCACTTTGGGTATCATGAGATCCTAAGCTTCAATTAACTAACGGTGATCTTTATAAAATTATCTGATGAAGTGTATAACGTGTTACTTTCAATTCACGTTGACTACCTTTTTGAGTTGAACGCTGGCCATGCGACTAAATGAACCTGTACTTGGCGAGCATAATGAGCATAGATTGATTTCAGTACTAGGCTTCCTCCATTCAAAAACTATTATCGATCTATAATCTTGAAATTTGTCAAACGGATTTGTGTCCATAGTTGGATATGTGACAAAACAATCTTCATTGAACTATTTATCAATGTTGATGGATGTGGACGTCGACATTGTCATGTACAGTATACCACTCATGGTTTCCTGTTAATATAATTTCTAAACGATGAATATTAAATATTTCTATAGATTTCTATAAATAAATTTCACTATGAATAAATTAACACCACAAATTTTCACTGTAATTAACACACATAATATTATCTTCTATTCAGAAAATATTATCTGTACAATTCGAACATTCTTTATTGAATGAAATATCTAATGGTTTTGCTAAAGTTTATCTACAAAATAATTCAGATGCAGAATTAATTGTTCAAGAATTTAACAATACAATATTGAACAATTCTCGAATTAGTGCACAAATCAATTGAATTAAATTACAATTCAAACGATAGATAAATGGCCAAACCATTTCTATTATATTAAACTGATATACTAAAATAATGTTAAATGAACAAAACAAAAACACGATATATACTCATTATTAGGTATTTGACTCGAACTTAATTTAAAAAATTAAAATATTCGTTTCTAATTTATATTTTAATAAAACATTTAATTTATTTCGGATTGTTTTGTTTGTGCTTTCTGATTTTTTTATGCGTCGAATACTGAAATGATCGATTATTGATTTTTTCTAAATATATAATTCAAAACCAATTGTATTCTGATCTAAGTAAGTTTATTTGTTTTGAATGAGCATCCAATCGAATATCATCAGGTATAAAGTAAGTAATCAGGAAGTGTTGATATGTCTTGTCCAAATTTAAAAGGCGTTAGAAATTGTTAATCAAATACTAGATTTTATTTGTCATAGGTTGGTCTCATTAACGGTAATAATGAAAAACACTGGATAACTGCTTTTTCCTAAGATAAGACTCCTCAGAAGTGCGTACCTACGACTCAACCAGGAATGGGACCTAGATCTACCAGCGAACGGTTAGAATCACTGGGTCAGTTAACAAGGGTAGTACAGTTCTAACTTACAATATTTAACAGAGTAACGATTATCCAACACCAGTAGTGACAATTGTTTTATTTCTGACATGTCGGAATCCCACCAGGTACGACTCCGGACTAACAATTCAAGAATATCTTGAGATAAGTCCAAGTGAGCCGACTATTATTGTTAAGTAGCACTGTAGAAGAGTTTTATATTATGACAAAACAAATGTTCATTGTTCCTTGGTTCTTAGTGGTACTGAAACTGAGATCAATCTGCAACTTATATAACCTACAAATAGAAACAATATTCCAAGGCCCTTCAACAAAATCAAAAATTGCTTTTATCACGTCAGTCATCAAAACTACTCTGACTTTCCAATAATACTCAAAGCATATATTTAGATTAATAATAGTGAGGTTAGTTAGCGACCAAAACATTAATTTACATAGGCCCAAGCCATAAATTATTAAGGAAAACGACAAGCACCTACAAAATTCTAAATTAGTTCATGAAAAAGCCAGTAGAAATATACCCCTTAATGTTAATACAAATCCCACTGACAATCACATCCACGCCAACAACAGTAGTCATTCCGTTGAAAATTCAAATAGTCATTTCTCTCGCATGTTTACTGCTGTCTACCAAGATAGTAAAATTTTAATGACTGAAATACTTGGCCTGAAAGTATTCAATTATAACAAAATCCTCCTTTCGGCTATAAATCTCAACTACTTTATATTTGAACCACTTCTACAGTCTATCCAAAAAGTATTTCAAAATCTCATGCTTTGAACTACAAGAGGACAATGTTTATCTTATTTTACTGAATACTAATAGTAAAATCATTACTTTCTACTGCTACAAACTGACCATTGGTTCTGGTTCGTACTCCTGAGGTTGATAACGAAAATAGGGTTTAGAAATGTTTAAAAAAAGTGTGGTACTTTACATTTTTCTTTACAAAAACCATTTTATCCATTAAATAAAACACTGTTTTTATAGTTACCAAGACCATTCCTTTACCTTAACTAAATAATGCTCAGGTATGATGAAAAAACGTTAATCATGGCAATAGAGCTTTACTAATATTCAATTTTACAAATGAGTAATGAAAAACAAAATAAATAGTACGCAAGTATCACTGGTTCCAAGAATACTATGAATGGGGATTGTTGAGTTTTACAGTTTACACCATGAAATCAACATAGTTAAACTATTATTGTAACCACGAAGCGCTGCTATGGGACGGTATACAATTTCTTACCAGTGCACATAGCAGCGAAATCCGACTGAAAGCTCCCGTGTGGCGCTGCCGGGTAGTGACGGCATCCTAGTTAGCTAGCTAATTTAGGCGGTCGGGAGAGATCGGTTAAAGCACCGCACCCATGCTGATCTTGGATTATTCGAATTTCATTCTTTGAGACTTTTTTAATCGTGACGGGCTGCCCGATGTGCCTCCTTATGTACATACATTCCATGAGTCTCGGCTTGTGCAAATCATGTATGTATGTATATCCAAAGAACACACGTGTGGTTAGTGCAAGGAATATACTCTGAAAAAATGTCTGCCCATGTTTAATCAAATCAGCGGACTAATCCTTTAGGTCGAAGATAATAAAAATATGTGGTAGCAAATACTAGGGAAAGGTGACCATCAACTCATCCTGAGAGAGCGCTTATACCTATGTGTATCTCATGAAGTGTATGGACAAAATTCCTCATACCAGCAATATGTACATAATGCGTAAGAGACAGTCAGTTGTAGCAAATACGTTCGAAGGGATCGGTGACCATCTACCCTCTCAGTGGGTGAATATACTTTCGTGTATGATATGGTATGCATAAATGAAAACTTGTGTTACCGGTGTGCATGTGAGCTATACTTGTCCCAGGTGCGGTGTCCGTGAGCCAAGACGCAAGAGTTCTGACGACTTCCCCACGAAATCACGTCCACACGGTGGGTTATCAAGCCTCGGAAAGCGGATTCTAATCCAGACAAACTAATCAGCTTTACCGAGTGAGGCTTGATCACAGTAAGCATGATTAGAACACCACACCAGCAGACATCGAATTAAGAATGTAAACCATGAAGGTTAAACTAATTGTTCAACCCAAATGAGTTCATGGAAAAACACTGGTAAGGAAACTCATTCTAGGACAAAACAGATGTTCTCTGCATCCTGATTCTCGAGCTGGTAACTATAAAACTATGGATCAACTGATTAGAGAACATGCTATTTTTACAGGTATATTTCAGTACAAGATATTTATCTGACTCTAATCAGTCCTACTGAACAAGAAAAATCAGAAGCATGATCAAGAAAATAGAGGAAAAACGATCTCTTAACGACACTGTGTCAATATTTACATGGACTTTAAATGCAGCGGCCGTTCGAATAGTGGAAATGGTATATAAACATAAAACACTAAAAAATCCATATGGTAGGTACCAACAACTTTAACAATAAGTGATATATACACATATACCAATATATTCTACACTTCACAACAATGAAGATCAACATTAGTTTTTAATTCAATATTATTAATTGTAATATTTATTGTATTTTCAATATGCTATTTTATTCAGTATAACATTGGATTCTTTCAGAGTGATGTTTTGTTGATGATATGCTTGTATTAGATTAACGTGAACTATGTTTAGCATGAAATGCAAAGTGCAATTTTGTGATAATTCTATATGTAACGTTTTACTAATTCATAATCAAATGTGTATGCGAATCAATATATAAATGAGTGCATTTTCGTGTTTTGGGGCTAATAAATCTTCACTTGTACCAGTCTTCATTACAGAGTTCCCTTGTTTTAAGTTTAAGTAATTAGCGACGCGGATATAACAATTGGTAACGGAGATTTCGGAAAGGAAAACAAACAGAACTGAATAGTTATTATATCCTAATACAGTACTCCTCAATGGTGTGTATTTAAAAAGATTATTCATTCGAAAATTCACAATTTTTTATTTAATCCTGTTTTTAACACTAACCTCATCTATAAACCATTTATTTATTCTACAATAAAAATTATTTATAATGCAATTAGTATTATTTAACATCGAATCGCATTCAACTGAGTCATAACACTTGGATGAAAAGGAAGAATATTACTATTCGGAAAAGACATTCTCATTCATTAAAATGTTGGCATTTTTTTCTTGACATACATTACGTAATGAACCAACAATAATAACGAAAACACAATAAAGAAAATCTTTACAGAAAACCAAAAGGGTAATACATATACACATATCTGCATCTATAAATACACATGTATACGTGTGAAATGCATAAACCAATAAAACACAAACAGAGTAGTTACATAGTGAAGAGAAAATTGAATAAGATGTGTAATAAGAAAAAGAGGTGTGGAGTAAGTGCATCTTTGTAGTAGATAACAAAATATTAAAGGATAAATATAATTTGGCAAAGAAAATTACGTGGTAGATGTGGAACACTAAACAAAAATTAAACAGGAACAAATAAACAAAGGTAGGCATATTTAAACGCACTCATCCTTGATTTTTTTGGCTAAAATCTCTCATAAATGTAAAAGCGAAACCGATTATTAAAATAGTATTGCTAGTCTCATTGGTCATAAATAGGTAAATTGCACTTTGTAGTACAGTTATTATTAATATATACATCTAGGAACGTTATATATATGACAGGATTCTACATAGTAATAATAATTATAATAACTAGTAAGACACATATAAAATAAATTAATGTATCACTCAAGACAAATAAGATTTTGATCTGATTCAGAATGCCTTCGTTTCAAAAGGCGTCTGGTACGTGCACTTAAACATTCCGCGTTATTATTGAAATAGGATTCTGGAGATTGACAATTTGAATTTTGTACATGTCCCCAAGATGATTTAACGACTTCAGCATCATCTAATGATCGATGGGAATGTGAATTATTGAATGATTCATTGGAATTAGGATCACATGTATCATTAGATTGATCGTCAACACTAATTACTGTTTCATTAGTAGATACTAATGAAGAGAATTTAGAATGGAATTGATTTCTATGTGGCAACAAGTGTAAAGTTAAGTTTGCCAGTTCTAAACCCGCTTGTACTGACGACGTCATTGCATCCATACCTGAATAATGAAGCTGAAAACAAACACATGGCGGGGAATCAATCAACATAGTTAAGGGTAAATATATTTTGAAGGATAAGAAAGAATAAACAGAATAAGGAGGGTTTGATGATTATTCCCAATCAGTCATACGCAACGTAGAACCTGGCACATGCGCACATCGATTCAAGTTCTCATATTCCATTTGCATAGAGAAATGAAATATCCCAAGGCGGTAGAGGTAGTGATAGTAATAGTAGTAATGGAAATAAAAAAGATTAGGTATTGAAAAAACGATCCGGTAATGCGGATTATGAAGATAAGTTGGTTGAGAGACTCAGGATCTATGGGAAGATGAAAAGTGAATACCCTTGCACCGATGCGAACGATTTCGAGCCATATCTCCAAACACTGGTTACGAAAATCACGAGAACCTCAACCATACATACATGACTCAGTCTAATAGTCAGCGTCTTCATAGACTGATCCCATGTTTTGATTCGGCCAATTCTAGCTTTCATCTAACCTAGTCCTACACCAGCCATCATT